AAAGGGAGTAATTATACCTGATCCAGAGAAATAATATCTCCCAAAGTTGGTGTTCATGCCCAAAGAAGGCACCAAGATCTGCTCCTGCTAAAGATGACACAACAACTATGGAACAGAACCAGCAGGGTGCGTCCTACACACTGAATCCTTCACAAGAATCCTTTGGATGACAATGAGCACCAAACCGAATTAGCTTTTCAACAAAGACTGATATCAAGAACTTTTCTTGATCTTTCTCTGACAGAGAAAAACGAACTATGACAGATGGTGGCGGCTGCAACTGGAGGAAACTAAGAAGAAGGTGGCGAACTGCTTTTCTTCTCTAGAGTTTCTGAGATTCTATCTCACAAAACTGCAGGATGTATGTTCTGTGTTCCTAGGGTTTGAATTCTTGTAATTCGAATTAGGGTTTCTTCCAGTTGCTTAATGATTAAGAAAAAGATCTCTTGATCATATCAGGAGTTGCCTTTATCCAAATCTGTATTTGGATTAGAACTCTTCTTAATCTTATCTACAGATTAGATAAGCTTTTTGGGCTCATCCTAATCTCAGATCCGCCCCTTAATAGTGATTGATCAAATCAGCCTAGTTCGAAATGGGCTTTAGGCCCAATAAGGTTATGTGCTCAAATGTCTTCCAAACTGTTGCCCAGTTGAGCTTCTTTGTATGGCGTGGGACCCAAGCATTAATCTACACACTAGCCAAATGGGTTCGGCTCAGCCTCTGTTACAAGGCCTGGCCGAATTCACTAGAGAGTCCAGTGAACCCCTTGAGCCCATCACATGGACCCTATGGGCCCAACACTTACACTAAGTGGTCCCTAGGCCAAGCCATCTTATAAAAAACCCAGGGACTGTGGGTAGGTGCAAGATTAGCCCATCAGGTATYATCMYAAAWGGCCTTACACTTAACCTCTCAGCCCATAATGATCAAGCACTGCCCGACAAGAGAGGACCTCTCCCTCGGCTGCAAGGAACAATGTTGCACTCTCTACTTACATGGATCCCGGGAATTAAAACCATTTGCAAACATTTTGAAACCACAC